AAAAACAGAAAAACAAACTCCTAATGAAGTTTATATTCCAGCAGGAGATAACAGTTGATAAATAAGCAAACAAAGAAGTAAAACAAGTTTTTATAGGTAGTAATAAGCACTATCTTTGTTATTAAGTGAATAAGTACAGTGATATAACAGAGATTAACTAGAGTGGAGATTTTGGCTAATTTAGAGAGGTCTATTTCAGGAACTTTGTTTAAAGTGGTGATGTTTAAGTTCATATTGGAAGAATGCCAGAAAGAGCATTCTTCTGGCATTTGAAGAAGAACAAGAACAAGGCAAAGAGAAGTAGAAAGATGCCAAGAAAAGAGAGAGTTTGGAGAGCAAGATGTCCAACACACTTGCATGTGACAAGGACTCTTTCACTGCAGTGGTTCATAAACAATGCCAGTTCAGGCAGAAAACACATTCTATACTATTTTGTTGTTTTTGTTGTCTCAATTGACCACAAGCCCATGGTAACAATGCCATTTCTCATTCTATGGAAATGTTGGGGCTTGAAATATGATGCCCTAAAATATGTTGCTTTGACATGTTGGGCTAAAGAAGCAGCCTCAAGGCCTCTCTGACTCCTGCCCCAACACCATCCCTTTTGTCTATTAGTCTTCTGTCTCTCTCAAAGCACAGAATGAGGCTGTTGTCTGAGGCTCCCTTATCTACGTAGAAACCAGATCTCCAAAACAGGAATGCAATTGCCTTCCATCTCTTCCCTGAAATTTCATTAACCAGAGAAGATTAAAATTCATATTACAGAGAAAGAGATTGAAAATTAAACACCACACCTAGGGCCCAGAAGGATTTCAAACTTTGTCCCAAACCGTATTTTGTTCGCTGATTCTATTCAATTTTGAAAGAGAATCATTCACAAGATAATGTCTGCCTCCTGAGTCCATTATTTCTCCCCTAAAAGTTATTTCCTTTTATACTCAATCTCCCCTTCCCCTGTTGAAAAGTATATAAGCATCTACACTCCATTGAGTTATTGGGCATTCTCCTGCAATTTCCCAGTGTTATGCACGTTAAAATGAATCTGTATGGCTTTTTTTTTTTTTTTTTTTTTTTCCTATTGATCTGCCCTTTGTCAGTTCATTTTGTGTGAACCTTCAGCGAGTGAAGAGAAAATCTTCCTCTTGGCCCGTACAGGTTTGGCACAGGGAACAGGGTAAACCAAATCTACTCTACTCTTCTAGGAGCTGCAGTCAAGGGAACCCAGGACCTGACAAGCTGGCAAAAGGGTCTTACCAATCAGATTTCCACTGGATCTCTGTCTATGGAATTTTGTCCAGCAGACAATAAAAGTTCTGCTTGTCTCTTTTTTCTTTCCAAATTTAAGATTAACGCAAGAAAAGGATTTGTATGACTCATCTTAGGTTTGGCAACTCTTGTGTGTGTTTTTTATAAATATTCACATGGTATGATCCTTTTTTCTCCCAGAAATTGTCTTTGTTTTTTCCTTTGTCTTTGACTTCCTGTGTCATTTTGTAATAAAGACAGGTACCATGGGGTAGAAATGGGAGCCCCCATAAGCCCATTGTGTGAGCCTTTCACAAACTGGTAAGTTTCACAGTTTTCATCAGACCAGCATCTGTTTAGATAACTTGTGCTTTGGATCCTCAAAATAAAAACCAGATAAGGTTGCCCTCTAGTCTTGTTTTATGTCCTTGAGAGCTTGACTTATGAACAAGTGAGAGCACTCTCTCTTGGTTTCCATCACTCAGGAGTATGTGATTTTCAGGTCATGTTCAGTGGACAGGCTGAAAAGTCTGGGAACCCCAACACATAAAATATGAAGCAGCACACTCTTTATTCTAAACATGCCAAGATCTCAGAGGAGTTTATCTTAATTGAGAGTCTCATGCAAAAGGGAATTTTGTTGTCTCTATTTTGTTGTTTGTTGAGTGCAGGGGAAGTCTAATTCCGACATGCCTGACCAATGTCACAGATTTAGTGGGTCTGTGACTAGAGGCATCCCAACACGTTTACATGTCCATGTGCTCAGGAGGAGATTAGAGTTATTATCCCCGCAAACATCATCCTTAACTGCCCATGGTAACAAAGATCCTTTGCTATATTAGCATATCTCTGGAAGTAAATTTTGATGGAAGCTGGGGGCTGCCTCTCCTATGCCCCCTCCAGAAATATGTCTTGCTTATATGGTTAAAACTTATTCTAAGCCTGGAAAATTAATTCCTTGTCTTTCCATGAAGAGGTTTATTGGACTGAGTAGCTATTGACGTAAATGCACAATTAGAAATCCTCATTGTCAATGGTCAGACAATAGGACTTTCTATTTAAAAAAGATGTATACATTTGAAAAAGCTTTTGCAGATTCTCACCCAAAGCAATTGCCTTGTTTGTATTTATGGGATGATCAAATTTTAAAAGATACATAATAATGTCATACCTAGCCCAAGAAATAGTTTTGAGAAAATTAAACAAAACAAAAAACAGAAATATGACCTAGAACCAAAGTTAAAATCATTTATACACTCAGACTCCCTACTTTGATTCTCTGCATGATTTACAAAACTGTGCCCTTCCAGCCTGTGGTCCAGTAGTTAAGATTTCATTATTTTATTGCTGTGGCCTGGGTTTAACTCCTGGTCAGAAAACTGGTCCCCTAGAAATGTAAATAATTATGTGACTCAAAAAAGACATGCCTTAGCCACCACTTGAATCTGAAGCCACAAGCAAGCCTGGCAGGCCACTCCCAGGTGGCGAGAGGCAGGGGCTGCTCCTGCAGAGCAGCTGCTGTGGCTCCCTTCACCTCCATTCCCTTGGCTCAGGTAAAAGGCTGGCTGCTCAGACAGCAAAAAGTGTGCTGCTTGTCCTATAAAAACCTAATAATCAAATACGTAAAAGCTTTCCTTTCTTAAAGCTCTATGGGCAGAAGTTGGCTTAATTAATAGCCAATATTTCAACATATACATATATTTTTAACATGTTTGTCCTCTTTTGAATTCTATCTGTAACATGGAAACGTCTTAGTTGACTAGATCCACCCCCCCACCACTTTTTTCCCCACTGAAACCTCTGTTAATTGAAAACTTAAGATCTCCCGAAACTGGCTCCTATAAGACTCGTTCTTTCATTTACTTCTGCCCCTCCTTTCTTTTGCCACATTTGATGCCAGTTGAAGGAATGTAAAAGAGACTTCTAGTGATTCTAAAACCCTCTGAAATACAACAACAAAAACAGCATCACTGACTCCCTCTTTTGCAGTCCTCTGTCTTTCTCACAGAAAACCAAGTGTCATAAACAGGTTCCTCCCTGATCTAAAGCCCTGCCCTCTTTCACACTGAGGTCCCTGATCTCTTTGGCTTTTGAATACATGTGTAGATATGTGTGTTGTATGTCTATTACAGGTATGTATATATCTGTACGTGTGTTTGTGTATTGTCTAGAGGGCAACAAACAGACTTAGCGTAAACACTCATAAATTAAGTGAATAACTAGCTCAAAGTCTTTTAAATTCACGTCATTTTAATAATTTTCAGTAAATAAAATTAGTTTAAAATTTTTTTTAAAAATCTGATTTCAGGGTAGACATTTTTGCCTGGGCCTATGGACTAGATAGGTTTATACTGTCTCTAATAGATGTTATAAGGCCATAAAATAGTTGCTTCTATAATATTTTTGACCCTTGCTTGATTTGTCTGTGAGTTAAAGCTATGAGGGCTGCCTTCTGGAGTCCCACATAGCCTTGGGTAAATCTTGCTATGAGCTTATGTCTTTGGTTTTGAGCCTTTTGATTCTGGGGTTAGCTATGTGGCCAGGGTGAAGCCTGCGGACATATGTGTGTCTGCAGCACCTAGGCTATCAGCTATAGGGTAGAGCCAAATCTGATATGGCGCCATCCTCCATTGCCCAGCTCTGCCTCTTGGTCATGCTAAGAGGAGCTGGATAATCCAAGTGTCATCTTTACAGTGCTGTCCTCAGTGCGGGGCTCCACACCTATTGTGTGAATCCAGGCTCAAAATAACAGTTAATGAGGCAGGATGAGCCAAGTTTTGCTGTTTTAAAAAAAAAAAACCAAATAGCTCACTATTTTTCAAAAACAACTCAAATGTATTTGTTAAAAATGAATAAATTAGGTAAATATAAATGGGATAAATGTTTTCAAATGATCGTGGCACAGTTTCAAAATTCTTTCAGTAATTTAAAATCTTAAAGTCATGTAATGCTAAATCAAGTAATAGATAACCACAAAATATCTGAGTCATTTATATTAAAGAAATAAATAAAATACTAGAACATAAATTGCTATATATAGGTATAAATTTATTTGCTTTCTAAATTTCTTTTAAAAATAAAATATTTGGGTATGTGATTAAGTATGTTCTGTTCTACATAAAGTTGTTCTATAAAAAGCTTATATTGCTAAAAATTATAAAACAACTTTATTTTATAAATACTAATATGATACAAATTTAAATTGCTTACTTCTTAGATTTATCATAGTAAATTAGAGTTATTAAAGTTAAAATTGTAATTAACATATGTAATCGAAACTACTAAAAATAAAGAAAAGTATACAGAGAGGATAAGACATATTTTTGGTGAAAAAGATTTGAAAAAGACATAAGAATGGGGTTTTTTGTCCGGAGCTGCATGCCCCGGCCATAGCGAATAATAATTGAGGATTAAACGCCTGAGCTATATTCATTTCCACCCCACACCTTCTCCCTATCTTTGCCTTTTTTCCCCTGTACTAATACCTCATTAAAGATGGCGCTCTTCCTGCTTCTTCTTCACTCACTTTTCCCGCGCCCGGGAAAATTGTTACTTAATAGCGCAAGCGCCACATGACGTCCGACCGGAGAAACCGAAACTAACCTGGCCACGCCCTTGGCAATGAGATCATTTCCGCCTTAGCCCAACCCCTTCCCTTCCAAGTGTATATAAGGCAGTGCATTACCGCCATTAAACGAGACTTGATGAGAGCACTGTCTTGTCTCCATTTCTCCTGTCTCTTGTTCCCCAAATTCCCACCCCTTCCTCCAGGGCCTGCTCTGACTATCCCGCGGGCCGGGATAGTTTTTATTACAGGTAATTTATCTACACATTATTTAAATGTTGTTTATAAATAAAGGAGTAAAATGATATAAGTAAAACTGAACAAATAAAAAATGCAAGTTATAAAAAATAAATCTCCTAAAATAAATTTGATGTGTAATCAAACTTACTGAAATTAAATAAATGTATTATAAAGATTTTTTAATTTTAGGTGAGCCTTAATATAAAAAGTACTCTAACACAAAACTAAGATGTGATGTTCTCCTTTAAACAACCTTTTTCTGGCCAGGTGCGGTGGCTCACGCCTGTAATCCCATTACTTTGGGAGGCCGAGGCGGGTGAATTAATTGAGGTCAGGAGTTCGAGACCAGACTGACCAACATGGTGAAACGATGTCTCTACTAAAAATACGAAATTAGCCAGGCATGATGGCGCATGCCTGTAGTCCCAGCTACTCAGGAGGCTGAAGCAGGAGAATCACTTGAGTCCGGGAGGTGGAAGTTGCAGTGAGCTGAGGTTGTACCATTGCATTCCAGCTTGAGCAACAAGAACAAAATTCTGTCTAAAAACAAACCAACCAAAAAAAAATAAAAAAATTTTAAAAAATAAAAAAACAACCTTTTTCTGTAATAGTGATAAAAGTCAATATTTTTTTGTTCACTATTTGAATAAACTAAAAAATATTGAAAAGAGAAAGACAAAGAAATTCTGTATGGCTTACTGTCTTCATTAGGTCTTCTGATTATTTAGAAAACTATGTGTCTTCTTTATGAAAGACTGATTTGTTTTTTGAAATATTTTAATAATCCCTTTGGCTAAATTAAAGACTTTTATGTTACAATAACGTGATCTTATTTTGAGTAAGTATTTTAAATATTTATTTTTGAAAAAAAAATTCTTAAAATCAGTATTAAGTCTTTTTGACCACAAACTAAGTTTAGGATGGTCCAGAGGACCTCTTAAGCCTCTGGAAGAGACGATAATTGGCTAATTTAATTGCTAAATTACATGGGAAACAGTTTCAAATAAGAAATAATGTTTAACTTTCTTTAGGTTATATTCATATGCATGCTCTCAATATATGTTCCAAAATTATATAATATTGCTAAAATTCTGATATGTATTGTGTATGTTATCAGTCATAATTATGATTAGTACATTTAATTGTTGTAGAACACTGAAAATGACAAAATTTCCTTGTCAATTGTGTCTTTAATTATGGCTATTTGAAAACTTGGCTGTCTACAGTAAATTGCTTTCTTCTGACTTCTTTTTTTCTGAAAGCATTTTGCAAATCCTAGTGTTGTTTCTTCAAGGAGGTTGATGGAAAAAACTAAAACAAGTACCCTTAAACTCAGGTTTCTGACAACTTTGAGAACATACCATTTGACTGAGTAAAAATTCTAAAACTCTAATGAAAAAATAAAAACTGGACTCATAAAATTGCTTACTTGACATCAGGCAGAGCAAGAATAACTACGTGGGGCTGAACTGATAAAGGACTAAAATGGTTTCTAATGACGTTTTATTTGATACATAAAATATTTTGTTTTCTAGAGTTAAGAAATTTTTTTCATTTTAACCTATCTATAGATTTACTGCAAGTTAGTCAAATATACTTAGTAAGAAAAACTGAAACATTTACCTTTTTCTCTACCTGAGTCCTCTAGAATTCAGAAATTATTTGTGAATATTCTCATTTTATGAAAATTTAGTTATTTGTATGAGGTCAAATAGAGTCTTTTTATGTTTTTGTTTTTGTTTTCTATATTAGGACACAATGGTAAATATTGGTCATTTCAAAAAGACTTTGACTGAAATGTCATATTTTCAGATATGACCATACTACTTTGAAATAATACGGTTGTCTTTTATGAAGCAAAAAAAAAAAAAAAAAAAAAAGTCCCTTCAATAAAATTGGTCTGGCACTTTGTATACCTAGTTTTCTTACAGTGTTCAAGATCTTGTGGTAGGTAAAGAATGTCACTTTTTGACAGGCCCAGGAATCTCAGGATATTTTGGAAACCTCAAGGCAAGAGAAATATACCCAATTTGTACAGGTATTTCAGACCCTGTCTGATGGGTTGGCTTGGCTCCTAAGTCATTGACTTGCCTCTTAACTCTCATGAGGCCTTTTAAAAGTCCAATCTGAAGTTTCCTATAAATAAATTCAAGTAAAGTTAAAAAGAGCCATAGTCAAAACATATAGTCAATTTAGCACAATTCTTGCTGAAGTTATATAAATAATGAGATTAAAGACTAAACTTATTTTGCAAATAAATTAGTCTTACTGTGATTATCTTTGGTAGAAATGGGAGTAAGCGAGAAAAAATATATTTTAGAAGAAAACTATATTGCACCTGTTATTCAGTTCTAGATCCTAACCCTGCCCCTTGTTTTTGAGATCTTATTATTTACCTACAATCTGGACGAGATCCTGAATTTTTAATTTACTGTAATATCTGCCTGTGACTTATCCAGATTAACATTTTCCTTTTTTTTTTTCTACCCTTCTGGTTTAGAAGCACTAAAAATTAAAACTGTCCTTTAAAAACAATTGGAGCAAGTTAGCCAACATGGTTTTGAAGAAAAATTATTATAACAGCTTATATTTGGATACACTTTCTATATTTGTATATACAAACTACAAACCAGAAAAATCTGTGAGATAAGGACTGATCTCAAATGACCTTCCTACAAATTCTAAAGAAACTAGTTCATAGACTACTACAGATATTAACTTTGTTTTTCTTCTGTTTTCATAGAAATCCCTTTTATTAGCGATCTGTTTGGTTACATGATATATAAATGCCTGACTTTGACAGCCTATCTGCAACACCATCTTATAGGATAAAACACAACTGTTTAATTAGAAGTCCTATTCCCAGGAAGGGAAAACTGGTTAAATGGGATCCTCTGACATTCAGGTATGAGCTCAATTTTTTCCTCCATAGCCACTAACTCAGTTTTAAATATGTGAAACTTATGGGGACATTTTAAACAAAGAAAAGTTGGGGACCAGAGACTGACAGCCCAAAATATATTGCTATTGCATGCTAAACTAAAGAAGTAGCCTAATGTCCTCTCTGACCTTCATCTTCTCCCCTGTCTCACAATACATTGTCTCTCCCAAAGCATAGAATGAAGCTGTTTTCCGAAGCTCCTTTATCTGCCTAAAAACCAGACCCCCGAAGAAGAAAACAATTCCTTGCAATACTTTCCTTGAAATTTTGTTAACAGAAGATTAAAACTCCTGTTACAGAGGAAGATATTGAAAATTAAGCATCACACCTAGAGTCTAGACAAACTTTGAACTTTATCCCAAACAATTATTCTTTTCTTTCTTCCATTCAATTTTCAGAGCCTTCTTCACAAGATAATGTCTGTCTCTTGGGTTCATTCATTCTCCTCTGAAATCATTTATTCCTATGTCCCAATCTCCCTTCCTCTATAAAAAAGGGTATATAAGCATCAGTACCCCACTAGGTTACTGGTGAGAGAGGAGGAACGAAGAAATCACCAGTTAGGGTGGGTCCTCAGTTGAGTTCTTTCAAACAGAAAAAACAGCCTGCAGGCACAGAAATTGGAAACTAAAAGAACTTGCACAGAGAGGCTTGCCTGAGACCTGTCCACAGCCCCAGAGATAAGAAAGACTATGTAAGAGACTTGCCCAAACACGCCCACAATGGAAAATTCCATCCCCTGACATATGCACAGTAAGGGGAATAAAGCAACATGGAGTAAAGCAAGCTAAGGGCTGGCATGTGCACTAGGAGGAAGGTGTAGAGCTACCACAAATTCGCAACTTATGCAATGAGACACCCAGCCCTCACTGGTTTCTTATAAAAGCCTCTGTATTCAACTGTGAAACAGCAACCCAAGATTTCCTTAGCCATGAGACAAAGAACTTCAGGTCACGCCCCAGAAAACAAGGCCAGCTTCACTGGGTCATCACTTCTCTGTGATTCTGCCGTGCTATAAACATTAAAATAAATGTGAACGCTTTTTCACTTCTATTAAGCATCTTTTGTAGTTCATTTTCAGTGATCCCTCAGTGGGTGAAGAGGGAAGCTTTCTCTCCTTACCCCTCTAAGGATGGTACCTGACACAGAGGAATCTTAGGACAATGTTTATTGAATAAATTTTATGAGCCAGGCAAGCATAGCTCGCACATGAGGCAAGTCACTTTAGGTGGAGAAGAGGGTCAGTGAAATTAGACAGTATATTGTCAAAATGGTTCAAAATTTTTGCTGTATATTGTAAAGAAATTTAATGTTATGTTTTATTAGGAAATAACTTTAAAAAAATCCAAAGTACTATCACTGTTGTTGCTATTATTCTTTTTCATTTCATTTGGGGGTTGGTCATTTGGTGGTAAATTTTGGTTTGACAGGAATTGAGGACTTGGGGAAAAGTTAATGAAATAATTCAGAAAAGAATACATTGAACCAATGTTCAATGTGATAATGATTTTTTTTTTTGTTTGCTGTTTCCAGAAGTAATCAGAATTTCAGTTTAATGATGGTTGAATCAAATTTTTCTCAATATTAATTAAGTTTAGGTTGAAGAATTTACAAAAAGTAAAGAATAAACTTCAGAAAATAAAACATTATAAAATGTTATACACTAAAAAAATACGTTAAATATTTTCTTATTTAAGATGTTGACATTTCATTTGGTTTATCTTATCTACTTCATATTGCTTTCAGAACTTTTAAATAGCTTTTGAAATTTTTAAAAGGTTAAACATTTTTAGATTTTATTCACAAATTATTCAAGTCTAAATGTTACATTTTAATGATGAAAATACATATAAATTGTATTTAAATAGTAAATTGAAAATGAATAAAATTAATACTGGTGTACAATTAATTTTATAATCCTAAATTTAAAAATATTTTAATAATTAAAATTTAAATTATATAAATATAAAATTTAAATTTAAAAATTACCCTAATCATATTGATTTAAAGTTATTTTTACTTTAAATTAAATATTAATTATTTTAAATTGAGAAGTATTTGAAAGAAATTACCAGAAAAATCCTATCACCTTAGACGTTGCTAACCTTTGGAAGCTATGAAAGTCAGTTTGAATAATTCCACTTGGTAGCAGTTTACACAAATACCCAACATCAAAAGTTTTACTCAATGCTGAGAAAAGGAAATTCATATTCTCAGGAATTATTATATCCCCCTATATGATTGCAATCATAAATTTGAAATTTATTAAATATAAATGCAAAATTTTAAAGAAAGAATTAAATGGTTTGAAATGCCAATAATTCTTAGGCTAAAAAATAAAGATTGTCCAGGTCGGGGGATTGCTTGAGGTCAGGAGTGTAAGACAAGCCTGGCCAATATGGTGAAACCTCATCTGTAATAAAAACACACACATACACACACACACACAAATTACCTTGGTGTGGTGGTGCATACTTGTAATCCCAGCTACTTGGATGGCTGAGGTGGGAGGATTGTTTGAACTCGGGAAGCAGAGGTTGCAGTGAGCCAAGATTGTGCCAGGGCACTATAGCCTGGGTAGCAGAATGAGACTCCATCTCAAAAAAAAAAAAAAAAAAAAGCAAAGATTGCCAAAACAAAAAGTGAAATAAAAGATTAGAATAGAAACATACCAGCATAATCTTAAAATGTAAAATAAAAAAGCATAAAAATATATGCCAACATTTTTATTACTGTGATAAAATATACTTTTATAAAATATTTACTATTGAATATTCCTAACAAAATTATTATAGGTTCATTTTTAAAATATTAAAAGTTTCATGAAATAGTTATTCGGGAAATTAATCATTTGATGAATCAACTTTCAGCTGTTTCTAGTGAATTGACTCACAGCTAAATAATAATCACCTAAACCACAGCTATGAGATTAAAATCTCATGGAAAGGAACAAAAAGTTGGGAGATATGGATACCAATTATAAAAACAGAGTCAGAGACAGTTACACCGTTTGCAAAGTCTCCCAGCTAGTTAGTATCCAAACTAGCGCAGAGTTCAAGTGAACAGATTGTCTTCTGGTGTCTTTTCGGCTTTGTAACCCTTGTTGCAGGGAACAAAGAGGTGAAACAATATTATAACTCTCTTTGTTCATTTTGTGGAAAATTATTAAACAATGCATCCAATGCTACTCAATGACAGTGGTTAGCTCTGGATATGGAAGAACATTATTTCTCTTTTCTTTTTTGTGCGTGTGTGCCTCTTTTTGTATTTCATAGTTATTTTCAATTTATATGCTTTTTTCACATTAAGAAAAATCAGTACAATTTATTATGTTTAATATGGAAAAGAACTTGGAATAGTGAGCTATAGTAACATATACTTAGTTCATTGATTTGTTAAATTTGCATTATAATAAATAACTTATTTGCTTGATGGGAATATGTTTTTGTCAATTTACACAGTCCATGGTTCCAAACATACTTTAAGTAGCTGAGTATTGTTGTTTTATTGTGTTTAAGTATTACCCAAGCAGGATGTACCAGTGAGAATAAGCAAAGCTTATACTGATACAAGTAAACTCCAAACCTCAGAAAGTTTATATTTCTTCCTCAAATAAATACAATGTGTGCATATACGTGGGTCTTTGTGTGTGTGTTGTCATGGCTCTATTCCGTATTACCCATTGATGAACAAGAGAAGAAAAAAGGGAATTGCGAATTACTTTTTTTGGTCAGAAAGTAAGTTTATTTTTGCTCACTTTTCGTAAGTCAAAAAAATTACATGGCTCACCTCATGGCAAGAAAAATGAGCAGTGTAGCCTCTTCAGGTTCAGGAAAGAAAGGAAAGTGGGCTATTGATGAATGGTAGTAATGCATACCAGATAAGATATTTTTCTTTTTTCCTCAGTCATAAGGGTTTCTAAAACTTGATGCCATCTTGGAAAATTACTCTTCCCCTGTACTTTCATTCTAGTGGCTCTGGTTTACCCCAGAAGTTAAAAAAAAAAAAAAAAAAAAAAAAAAAAGGACATTCCTTTGACATCTATCAAACTCTGAGGATTAGGGGAGGACAAATGAGAGATAATGTATGTAAAGCACTTTGACTAGCTCAGCAGGAAGGAGCGATCTACATTCAAGGCACTATTAAAAAATATGCTGATGAAACAAGCCCTAGAAAGATGAAGCAAAAGAGAAAAGAAACAATTGTCAGCCCCCTTCTGCCTCCCTCAATTTCCCAAGGACCAAAAAAGAGCAAGACTTTCCAACATTGTCATCTCATGTTAATCCTATTTCAGCGGTTCCATGACTTTAGCCGCTCTGGCCAATACCAGCATATCAATAGTATCGCAATGGCCAACTAAAAGATTCTCTACAGAGTAAGTTAGACTCTATCTCTGGAATCCTTAGAACCTTAACAAGGATATTGTCTGCCTCTGTAACTTTAAAAGTCATTATGATTAGCATCTCCTGTATTTAATCAGCGTCCACTCTGCTGTTGACTGGCTAGATTTGCATATAAAATGCCTTATGCAGATAGCTAGGTCCTCTCCTTGTGTTTAAGGAAAATTAGCTGTTGGAGAGTAAAAACTAACCCCTAATTTGAAGAGGCAAGATTATGCAAATGAGGGGAGATGCAAATCTGGCAGTTTGTGTCAATGTAAATAAATCCCTTAATAAATAATTCTTATAAGAAAGGGGGAAAATAACAGCAACAACAAAACCCTCTTCCTGGGAAGGGCTGCATTCTTTAGTAAGTGCTCATGACTTTATGAAAGGCTCCTTCTCTTACATCGTATTATTTCCTCTTCTCTTATTTTCTTAAACAGAGGAAATGACAAGCACCTTCATTTAGAAAATTTTACCATTCTTTAGGACATATTTTTAAAATCTGTAATTGAAAGGATTCTAGTAGATGATATTAACGTCCTTCAATTACTTTTGTGTATATATTTGATATGGTTTGGATTTGCGCCCCCGCCTAAATCTCAGTTCCAGTTGTAATCCCCAATGTTGGATGAGGGAATTGGTGGAGATAAGTGGGTCACGGGGGAAGATTTCCGCCTTGCTGTTCTCGTGACAGAAGTGGGTATTCTCGAGAACTACTTGTTTTAAAGTATGTGGCACCTCCCCCTTTATTCTCTTCTCCCCCTGCTCTGGCCATGTAAGACGCCCCACTTTCCTCTATGCCTTCTGCCATGATTGTAACTTTTCTGGGGCCTTACCAGCCATGCTTCCTGTATAGTCTGTGGAACTGTGAGCCAATTAAAATTTTTTTCTTTATAAATTACCCAGTATCAGATAGATCTTTATAGCAATGTGAGAATGGACTAATACAAGATTACAACAGGAAAAGCACAGCAATATCTCCAAAACCAATGTTGTGTGCTTTGATCACTTTTGTAATGTTTTGTCAAATTTCGAATCCAAATTTGTGCTTCCGAATAAGCTACTTGTTTAGATTGGGTTGACGCAACCCTGCATAAGTTATGTGGTTACATTTAAGGTCTGTGTAGCAGTACCAAGAAACTTGTCTTTCTGTCCTTGTGACTCTCTGGAGCACAAATAAAGTTTTAATAAGTAGATTCTTGGGACTAATTAAGTGCTCTCTAACTGTCAAGCTGAATATCAGTGGGACTTGAGAAAGGAGCATTTCTACCCATGCTACAAAAAAAAAAAAAAAAAAAAGCCTTTCCGAACACAATTTATATAAACATGAAATGTTGGGTCTCAGAACATGATACCCCAAAATATGGCACTTTGACAATTGAGAAAAACTGCAAAAGTGAGGTCAGTCTCACTTTCCCTCACCTTTCTCTGTGAAGCATGGTCATAAAGGAATTATCTGACTTACCTCACGTGAAGTAGGTCATGAGACGCTCATTCTGGAGGGCTCCTGATCTATATTCAGAGGAAAGGAATGCCACACGGAGAGGCTAAGAATAATCTGAACAAACAGGTCTTGCTGAGTTCCCTTTCATTTATTACCATTAATTAGGTCATATCTCTTTTTATCCAATTATATGTCTACATGACGGTCCGTTTTTAAAGAAACCTAAGCACAAAAATACCCTACTTGCCATAGGCCTTTGGGTCTTCGATTCTAAAGGCTCTGTGTCACATAAAATTTTGATTGATAAATTTATTATGCTTTTCTCTTGTTAATCTGTCTTTTTTTTATAGGGATGTCAGTCATGACCCTTTTGATGAGTGAGGGAAAGACATTAGTTTTTCTCCCCTACAGAAAGAAAGTAAAATAAAATGGAATCTTTTTCTTTCATAAGCTTTTCCTAGCATCATGTCCCCTCAATATTGTGAATCCCAAATAACAGGCTGAGTGAGGAGTGCACAACTAAGAGAGACGAGAGAAATCAGATTGGTGTTGTGATATCCTGCCATACATTCTTTTTCTGACTAGTGTATCTTGTGATGATCACTTGAGTTAAGTGGTTGTGTCTTTCTCCCATATCAACCTGTATCAGATGACTGATATAGTAATGTAGAGTAGGTGGCTCTGCGTAATGGGAAAAGAAGTATGGCATTCAAGATGATCATGGAAAAGAAATATTATCTAGACCACATCAACTTAATGAGGATCCCAAAATGCTCCGTAACTCTGATAGAAGCTACTTTTGGCAGGTTACATGGATTCCTAAGAATTAATTTATTCATAAAAAAGAAAGCATTTTCTCTCATTCTTTCAGAAACAGTCCCACTAACATGCACAAACACACACATTTCCTTTTACTCTGAATAATGACTTTTCTTTTACTCAGCCATGATTAACCTTTCCTTTTTATTTACTTTCAATAGAGGGAGAGGCAAGACATTACACTGTAACTAGCTAACTCTTAAGCAGTTAGCTAACTCCTTGGTGGTTGGCTGAAAATAAAGCTTCTATTCTTTTACAGAGTCTGAGATTTGCAGTAAAGTGGATCCCAGGACATCAGACTGATGACATTGACTAGTGGCAAGATAGTTCTGCTCCTATTCCCTTTCTTCCCCCTTTAATTGCCCCATAAAAAGAGTTGAAAGGCTTAGCTCTTAATAACTACAGAGATCAGAATACATGGTGAACAAAACAAAATATTAAAAGGCAAACCCTGTACAACTTTCAGAAGAAATCTAAATTGCAAAGCTTGAAATCAGCAGGGTCTCCCGTAATGGTTTTTGGAAATACGGCACTTAGTTTTGCTTTCAGCCCCATTTGTTCTCACATTTCTCTGAAACAAATCATTATTCTTTTCTCAATTTTCTTAATCTCATATTTTACTTTTCTTAAATTCAATAGATAAAATATAATTATGTTTTGAAAATTCTATCTTCTCCTTAGAAGAAAATTAGAGCCCTCCTTTATATGTGGCTAATTGAGGGCTGGGGCCTGCTCATGTAGGCAGACAAGCACCTTGGATATTTAATCAGAAAAAAGGATTTCGTTTTTATGTAGGTGTCAAGTAAGCATTATCTGTAACCAAGATTTTATTTATTTCTTTTTAGTTCATTTTTAAAAAATGTATTTTCCAAATTGCAGGTAATTTTCCAAATTACCTTGGGTTTGAGGAAACTGTTCCTCACTTGAACATACCACTCCGTTGGCATTCTGCTGTTATGTAAGTATTTTCATAATTAAGCAACAATAATTTCTCAGCATTGTGTGCCTTGAAATGTTCCCCCAAAAACAGAAGTGCATAGTCATAAAAGCATGCCTTTTCTTAAGCACAAGTGTGAAGAATGAAATTAAAACTATCAGCACCCTAGTACCTGTTCCTGGCAGAGGAAACGGATTCCCCTTTGATCTGTCTGTTAGCAAAGTAGACAATGGGCACGTCTTTACCAAATTCTCTTTCCTCTTCAGCATGAAGTTTCTGTACAGCTTCAAACTGTTCTTGCACCGAACAGCTTAGGCAATCACTTGGAACCACTTGCAATTAGGAACAATTAACCTCCTTTTCTCAGAAATTGTATCCTTAAATATTTCTTTGGTTTTAGTACTCTTCATGTTGTGTTGAAAAAAGTACAGATGGTAGTAGAATGAGTTTTAAGATAGTAACAGTTCAGAATAAACTGTTTTATGAAATGACAGGAACTACAAGAAATTTAGAACCTGAAAGAATTTTAGAGATTGTGCCCTCCTGTAGATTTTAGAACTTGACTCTGCAGAACCCTCAGTGAACATAGCTCAGAGTGAAAAGAAAACTGAACACCTTGAGCTCTGCCACTTTGCCCCAACCAGCATGATTCCGCTCAGTCTGTTCAATATTTGGGAGTCTGTGTTAGAATATTTTGTTTTGGAAAGAAAAATCCATTACTAAAAGGATAAACTATATATGTAAAACTATTGTTATATTTGCAAATCACTAATTTAACCAATGCATCCATTTGAAAGTTGAAGAAGCAAAGTCCCAAAGTAGTCTAAATAAAAAAGTAACAGCTCAAACTAGAAATCTGCCTGTTTTATATCTAATTCTATTTTCTGTTTTTCAGTATAATACTGCCTTTGTCACTCGTCGCTAAGCTGGTCAGACAAATAATTCGAAGAAGTGGGGGTGCCAGGTGCAGTGGCTCACACCTGTAACCCCAGAACTTTGGGAGGCCAAGCCAGGCAGATTGCTTGAGCCCAGAATTTCAAGACCAGCCTGGCCCACTACATATTTTTGTAAATAAAGCTTTATTGAAACAAAGCTATGTTCACTTGTTTTTTCATATTGTCTATTGCTGTTTTCATGCTTCAGTGGTAGAATTGAGCAGTTTCAATAACAACTATATGACTATTTGGAGCCAGAAATTTGAATGTAATGGAATATATGCTGAATGTTAATAAGAAACAAAGGAGGAATAAGGTCCTTGATCATTACGAGGTGTCTTAAAGGTAAGCTAAAGAATTTTGACTTTGATCCATAGGCAATAGGAACTATTGTGGATTTTTACTTAGCAGGGGAGTGAAGTGATGAACGACATACTTTGGAAAGCTTTATAAGGCATAATGAGGAGGAACTATCAGAGTCTTGAGAGAAAAGAAGTAGATGAAATGTTATTTCCTTTGTGTCCCTCATATCTTCTTTCATATCTGTGGACTCAGCAACTGCTCTCATGGTAGGATAAAAGCTGTGACTCAAGGATAATGTGATAATGAAATGCATCTCTTTCTAGCTCTCTAGTCATGCCACATATTATAGAATACACAGGATCACACCCACTGCACCACCAAAATGCCCATGCTTGAAAAATTGTGATGGGAAGAAAGAAGTTCCGGCACCTGGGAAAGGAAACATTAGCAGAGAAGAAGGAAGTGTCACAAGGGAGGTTGAGTCACACCAGAGACACCCTCAGCCACTTCCCAATTAGATCACTGGTGGCCTTTATGGGCACTCAAATGAAGTGCATGATCAGGAAAGGATTGGAGAAATACTTATCTAAGAGTTGCCCAACTGGCAGAAAAGCTGTCCTCTGGATGAGTGGGGTTAGAGTTGAAAGGTTTGGGTTTTTTTGTTGTTTTTTGTTTGTTTGTGTTTGTTTTTGTTTTTTGTTTTTTGACGGAGTGTCGCTCTGTCACCCAGGCTGGAGTGCAGTGGCGCGATCTTGGCTCACTGCAAGCTCCGCCTCCTGGGTTCAGACCATTCTCCTGCCTCAGCCTCCCGAGTACCTGGAATTACAGGCGCCCGCCACCATGCCCGGCTAATTTTTTTTTGTATTTTTAGTAGAGACGGGGTTACACTGTGTTAGCCAGATGGTCTCGATCTCCTGACCTCGTGATCCTCCTGCCTCGGCCCCCCAAAGTGCTGGGACTGCAGGCGTGAACCACTACACTCAGCCTGGAGTTGAAAGGTTTTATGAGACTGAACTTAAACTTGATCCCAAAAGTTGGCTGGGCAGAGCAGCTCACATCTGTAATCCCAGTACTTTCGGAGGCCGAGACGGATGGATCACTTGAGGTCAGGAGTTCGAGACGAGCCTAACCAACATGGCGAAACCCGTGTCTACTAAAAATACAAAATTAACCAGGTGTGGTGGCAGATGCCTATAATCCCAGCTACTCAGGAGGCTGAGACAGGAGAATCACTTAAACCTGGGAGGCAGAGGTTGCAGGAAGCTGAGATTGCACCACTGCACTCCAGGCTGGGCGACAAGAGCGAAAATCTGCCTCAAATAAATAAATAAATAAATAAATAAAAAGTCGCATACTTTTCTCATTCACTTTGCCTTGGTGAGTCAATGAGTAACCATGGGGATCCCTAATGGCACTCGAGCCTCCTCTACTTTGCCATGCCCTTTTCCTCCTTCACCTGTATTAATTCACACTTTTCATTTTCATTTGATGTTTCAACACTTGTTTATCTATTTTCAACCACAGAGTTCCTCAATTTGTTCAAGTGCATTCATTTGATGATGAATTTTGTGGTGGATGAGCAAGTCGTTGCCTCATGTCCTCCAGGGTACTTTCACAGTTCTAGTCATTGTATGGTTGCTTACTTAAAGAATGTGAGAGGGTATTTTACTGAATTAATTTTGCTGTTGGTGAAGTTAGAGGGAGACCATTTAAGCAAACAATTATATAGTCTACGTGTCAGAAAAGAAATGTGGGATTGTCAAAGACATAGTGACTTAAAGGCCTTTGACAAGACCAGTTAAATCTCAAAGAAAGGTGAGCTCAGTCATCATCACAGCCCAAGGAAGGGAGCCCTGTCCCTCACTTTCCTAGCAGGCTGCTCCTTGTTTGCTCTTCCGGCTCTGGTGAACGCTTCGGTTTGCAGCAGGCCCTATAACATTGCCATGCATAACAATCTGTCACTATTATTCATGGCTTTTCTCCAGTCTCCATACTTTTGACATTGCCATTAAAGAGATTCAGTGTGCTTAGTAGCTCTTTAAAAAATAAATAATTGAAAGCTAAATTATATTAAACTGAGCCAATGCTGACCCCTTCACCTCAGTCCATTGCTATCTCCTTAAATGTATTCCTTCTTAAATCATATTGTAATTTGGAGATGCTGAAGTCTAAGTTTTTTGACTCAAATGCAGTTCCTTCTGATGCATAATTCATTTTCACTTTGTTACTGGTGCTGCACATGCAATCGCTTTTTTGGCAGCTAAATGTAGGATGAAATCAACAACTCTGTAAAGGGTGAAGAATCGGAGTGGACATCTTGGCAGAAGAAATATTAAGCATGTCACAATGTTTTGTACTCTGTCTGGTGAAATGGAGACAAAAACCTCCAACAATCCTCAGTTAATGGGAGAGAATGGCATTTTACGGCTGAAAATTATCTACCACTGATGTCATGCTGATGTTGCATTTAATTATTCTACACATTGCAGAAGACAATGACTTCTGAATGTTTTCGAGCCTCACAATTATTTGATGAACATCGTTTTGGAGTTTTGCTGTTTGTAATAAAGAAAGCTCCCGTGGTTCAGTTTTCCTGTCACTCTCATATTCCCTAAGGGGTTCCAATCCCCAACCAAGCATATGATCTTAAAGCAAACAGAAACTAGGCAGGGATGTCTCAGAGTGAGGAGATTGTCAGCGTAAATAGGAGTTTGGATGTTTGAAATATTAGGTAAAATTAGAGCTGTGACTGAACATTAAGTCGGCCTTAAATTATGAAGCAAAAAGACCTAATATTATACACATCCAGAGATGTACCATTTCAATGGAGCTTTGAAAACACATGTTGTAGCCTGGGTGGCATGGCTTATGACTGTAATGCCAGCACTCTGGGAGGCCTAGATGGGAGGATCATTTGAGCCCAGCAGTTCAAGACCAGCCTGAGCAAGATGGCAAAACCCCATCTCTATCAAAAAAAAAATAAAAATTAAAGATACAAAAATTAGCCAGGCATGGCGGTGCACACCTGTAGTCCCAGTTACTCAGGAGGCTGAGGTGGGAGTATTGCTTGAGTCCAAGAGGCAGAGGTTGCAGTGAACCAAGACCGTACCATTGCACTCCAGCCTGGGCCATAGAGCAAGACCCTGTCTCAAGAAAACAAAAACAAAGTGTATTCTTTCTTCAAAATAGTTGTAAAATCAGAAAGTTTGCTTTTGGTGCCCTCACATTGCTTAAAAAAAAAAAATGCTGATCATGTAACACATAAAATTTAGCAACATTCATGCTAAATTAAAACAGTAAAAAATTAAAATTGCTTAACCTTTTAAAAATGTATTATCACAAGATATATTTCATCAGTGAGCAGCAAAAACAAAAAATGTGCTCTACTACATTTCCTAATCTTTAGTCCCTGTCCTATTTCCTATCTTGTGGAAAATTCCACCACTAACTCTTCCCTCAGCTCCTACCTTTTTGGCAAGGCCTTTTTCAGGTACTAGGTCATGACTGTCTGTGATGTGAGCATTCCAAATGCATAATTATATATCCATTGTTTCAAATTTCATAATTGAGGACCATGAAGAAGACCGTGTGAGCATGAATGTGTGCAAGTGTGTGTGTAAAATGCAGGAGGAGGAGGACAGACAGTATTCCTTCTATTTACTAGAAATTCTAGTAATTAAGCTGTTACCTTTTCGGACTGTTTACAACAGTGTGCTGCTGTATTGCGTTGACTCTTTCTGAACATCCTCGTAGGAGACAATTGAAGATAAATTTTCAGAAACAAGGGATAAACAACCCAAAAGGTGAACCGGTTGGAGGGACTGCTTGATCAGGGCTGATTAAAAAAAATAAATCTTTGTAACTTGATGCAAGGACAATGAGTGACTAAGGTAGGACGCAGAGAAGAACATTGTACATTGCTCTCTCATCCATTCAGAGTGACAAATTTGAAAGGGAAGAGATTTATGAGGTTCAAGGGTAGCTGTGGGATAAAATTTAGTCAATCAGTCAACATACTTACACGGAATCCTGAAATGAGCAAGCCCCGTGCTAGGCACCAAAGGAATATCTGAGAACTGAAAGACAGCCTGAAGCCCTCGTGGAATTACTTAGGTGATAACAACTATCTCAAAATCTTGAAAGAGACACTGAAAGTGCAGTATCAGATAACTCCCATGAACACTTTTTAAATGATCTACTCCACATTGCAAGAATCAGAATCCCTCTTGGTCGCAAAGGAACCCCATTATTTCAGCATGCCCTTTAAGATTAAGTAGTATTCATTCATAGTTTTTCTGTTTACAAAAGTTTCTTCAGGCCAAGGACAATGGCCCTTCTGCTTGGGTGTGTATTGTATGTATTTTCTGGCTTGTTTATTCAGTAAACTAAAAAGAAAAATTGATTTTAGCAGACCATGTCTTTTTTGTTCTAAATTTCATGAAGGACGGAAGAGGTTTCCTAGGTAGTGGATTGACCGTGGATTACCTTTGGCTTGGATATTGCAATACCTATGAAGGCAAGAAACTTCTCTGGAATATCACAGCCCCTCCTAGCCTTGCTCTCTCTGGATATCAGTATAGGTTTATGATACTTCATAGGCAATAATTCTGTTACTAAGGAATGGTTACTTAAGTAAGTCCAATCAAGTCAATGGTTGCAAGAAGATATTTTTGTTGACTTTTTCCTCTACTATCTCTTTTGGTATTTCCATCCTCCCTCTTCTCTTTCATTTTATTAGATTGTCTCTTGTACTGAAAGAGTTGTCTAAAATATCTACCTACCAATATAACTAAGCCAGGTG